AAACCGGAAGCATTATCCGTTTCCCTCGTGTTTCGACTTATCGAGATTTGTTTGTATTTGCTTCTCTTTGTTGAAACCTACCGTTATTTTCTTCCACCGTTTCTTCAATTAGAATCAATCTACAGTGCACCATAAAAGAACCATAAAACATCAGAATCCAGCTGGAAAGTAGCACGATGATCTTCAGGTCACCTCCCAATACCCTTGTATGTATGCCCCTCTCCTTTTGCGCTTTTCTGGATTTTCTGTTCTTTAGGATGAAGCTTGTATCAGGACGGAGAGTGAATAAATTAGTAGACTGTAATGATGATCATATAACTGATTATGAAGAGATAAGCTAAGACGCAAAAAGCTTCTGCGAATCACTCTCTTTGCTACAAATTTCACTTGCAGTGGCCGGGATTGGAGTCATGGTACTGAGAGGAGGAAAACGGGAGGAAGGGAATATAGAAATAAATTGAATGAATGGCGAAGTGAGATTATTTGTAATTGTTCCTGATGATGTCAAACACTAGGATAGACTCGGAGCATTTATTTCTATGCACTCCTTTGACAGCATTATTGCATACTTAAACAAATATTCTTAACTCCTTGTTATGTTATTGGTTGGAAGAAAATGTTTATTCTCTATTGTTGTGAACAAAATTTCACTTGTTTACGAACGTCATTTCTTCAAAAATTGTAAACAATTCATTTACATTTGCCTGCCCTCGCAATTAGATTTATTGGAACAAACTGTTTATTCGATTTCTTATTATTTAATATTATTGCGAAAAATAACTTCACGAAGACTAATAAAACAACGAAATCAAACACTTGAAACAAGAGCACTTCGATGTCGACTAAGATCTAAAACCCTATGCAACTTGAGTCAGAGGTAAGATACATATTATACTAGTAACATTTTTCAATAGATGTTACAATTTTAAACGATACATGATACCCTGAGTACCGATTCATAATTGTGACTCCATGAACTTGATGGGGATAAGACTCAGTCTAGAAGTGGGGGCCGTCGGTGAGAATGTGCATTTCGAACCGTAAATTGAAACGCAATCGCGAAAATAACGGGCTATTTTGTACAGTTCAAGTATCATTACCTTTTATATTGGAAATGTTCGCTGTCGATGGTTGACAATGTGAAACATAACCCTAAAACGAATTAGACATGCATATTTGATTAGGATACCAGTATTATATTTGCTTGTGGAGCTGATAATGTAATTTGCTTTGCTACGATGTAATCGCAAATTTAGGGTGCTGCTAAATACAAAATGGTATATTGAATTTTTTGTTTGATAATGACAGTAATAAATATTTTTAAATAATTATGGTTAATTGATTAAAACGGTTCTATCAAACATACGAAATCTTATTCTTAAATAATCGTCATTACTTACTGCACTAATTTCCGACAAAGTTCATTATATATTTCTAATTTCAAATCAACGAACCTATTTATTCATAGTAGTTTACGACATCGTAAAAAGCGATTAAGCCCTTTGCGATCTTTTCAACAAAACTCCGAATAATGCTATGATTCACCGTCATATATTGTAAAAGGATTTTTCTCATTGATATCTCTTATTCAGCTTCACAATATGGGAAAATGGCCATAAATATATGTGCTGCTAAATATTACCATTCTTGAAATTGTCTACACTTCATTTGTATATCAATCTCTATGTGAGAGACTGCTCTCAACTTCCTCCGTTTTGCTACCATTTGGAGATTATAACAATCCTTATGAAAAATCAATTATTAAATTTTTAATTCTTGTTATTCAAATTGAATAATACATTTTTAAAAGAGGCTACTGCTTTAAATTTTTTTGAGTTACAATGAGTATAAAGTAAAAACTAAATTAAAAAATAAATATATATCGATATATAGTAGTGTAGAAAATAACTAACTGTGAAATGTGGCCCTTATAGCTAGAAATACGATAGATTGCCCATTTAAATAAGTGGGCGAATCATTTCACTGCATGTATCATTGCATTAGACACCCAGGGATTCAATTCACGCGCCGCGTCGACCGCATTCCGGCTTCTCCCCTCCCTCCAAAACTGCCTTCTTTCCACCACTTGCACTTTCGGCATTCTCGCGATCAGATGGCTGATTCGTAAATGCAGAATATCCGAGGGAGCAGGCGTTGTGCAGACCTGTTTTACAGTTTCTTCACTCATTACAGGAATATATAACTTCTCGTTGTAATTATGTATCCCGTCTGTGCATGGTCGTATCGCCTTTGACACTATGTTAGTGTGCATGCCTTTAAAAGTATATTTATCTTCGTTAACACCATGATTTCCATTTCATTATTATTTATACGGATATAAATATTTATAGGACGTTAGTTACGTCAAGACGTTCTATAGTTACGTGAACATCGAAATCAAGGATCGAAACGTAGCGACGTATTGAATAACTACCTAGGACTGATTAATGGCTCCAGGTACGTCACTGATATGGTCATTAATCCCGTTAGTTTAGTTGAAGCACATTAGGTAGCGATGTTCCTTTTCCGGTGGATGGTTTCCTGTCTCGACACTTGTGTAGTCGTGGAGTAAGCTTGTGTATAAGGAAGGGGTGAGGATAGGACGAGGAAGAGAAATGAAAGATCGCGCACAGTCAGCGTGGCCCGTTTGTTAGCTCACCCTCTTGGTAGCGCAGCTCGGAGCAGAGGCGGTGCGCCAGCCCCACGGCGCTCTGCACGGCGCGCACGAACTCCTCCTGCTGCGTGGGGGAGAAACAGCGCCCGGTGTAGTCCTTGACACAGCGCACAAACTCCAGCCAGCGCCTGCACACGGCGCCACTTTACACAGTATTGTAATGCTGTAGCAACGGCGATTTGCCTTCAGATTGATTGATTGTTAGTGATTCCAGGCGCGACAACAACGGAGGTCTTTTTTCTGGGGGAGGGGGGCAAGAGCTTTAAGGAGCAGCCAACATTGATTTTTACCAAAATTGGTATTCTCCCATCGATCTGACATTGACGCGGCTCCCATGAATTTGAAGATTTTATTTTTGATTTTTGAGGGTACTCTAACTTCAAGGATATTTTCAAGTTTCTCAAAAATGGCTTCAAATTTTTTCTTCATTTTTTCTCTCAGAGCCAATAAAAATATAATTTTCCAACAAATTATTTTAAAACATTAAACATCTTAATCAAAAATGGAATTTTAAACATTGAGAAGTAAAATTTTATGACATTAAATATTGTGTAAATTTCATATTTTTTATATTGTTTATTGATAACTTTTAAACAATAGCATAACAGCATAACATGAGTAATTTATAATAGGGTGACAAAAAATGAATTAAATGTTTAGTATATTTTGCATAATAATAATAATAATAATAATAATAATAATAATAATAATAATAATAATAATAATAATAACCCGCATGGTGTCCATTTTTTGTAGTATAGTAACATAAAATTCCCTGTCATAAAAGGCGACTTACAGGAGCAGGTGTCCGTTGTCCCTCCATCGAAAATTGATCCAACTTTCATTCTCCATTCCTTTTTCCGCTGTTCCCTATATTCCTTTGCCAAAATGTTACCTTAGCTGTCCCTTGGCTGATTTCTCGATTCAGTTTCCAAAATATTTCCTATCCATTTCACCCTTTCCTTAATGTTTCCCGAAGACCAACCCTGCGTAGACTGAGAGAAAAACTTCGGCACCTGGGGGACGGGCAAAGACACTATTGAGTGTCGGCTATCAGGACAATGGCAACCCACCAAATCGAATACCTGTCTGTTCTTCTGCAAGCTGGTGGGTGACTTGTGTGCTTGTCTTCCGGGAAGGGGATCGGCTAACCAACTGGCAACTGGGAAATGGGGCAGCACCCGAAATAGCCACCCCTATGTTTTTGCGGGCTGTAGGTGCCTGAGCTTCGACCTCAGGGGTTGGGTGATGGTGCGAAAATGGGTCTCTGGTTCAGAAGCGAGAGGTTTCCACTCTCGACTCTTTTCCGATCCGCCGGTGGAGAAGCAGGTATGAGAAGAAGTTAAAGGATTCGTGATGCATGGGACCCGCAAGTGCAACGCGGCGCTCCGAGTTCTGGCACTGGGCTCGCTGTGAGAAATGCGTTATCTTCTCTAGAGGATCCTCCTCATACCATCCGGGAAGGCGTGGCACTGCACTACTTATGGCGACCGCGATACAAATACTGGCGGTCACAGCTTCGCTGAGACGACAGCCCACCCCGCCCGACGTCAGAACAAACGACAGCGCATGAAATTGACTAAAGAGTTAAATATCTCCATTATGCATGTGAACTTTCTGGCTACCAGGATTGAAGAGGATATGGAGGGATACAGGACACGAATTATTAGAGCTGCATCCGAATATAGCGGTATCTGAACAGAGAGTGTGCGACGAGCTGCGCACCATCATTGTAAGGAACTTTTTCTCATCTGCAGAGATAAATAACATTAGGGAGAATGTAAGAGCATTCTTGGGTGTTGAGAATAGGAATGAGACTGATGAAGGATGAAGTAATGAAGACCCTCAAGCTAATCAGGAATGGATTGATGAGACTAATTCTGATTAATCATGCCTCCTAGTGCCTTAGCAATTCTCTTGGGCTGGACATTACGTAGCCATGAAGGCATACTATCATAGTGTTCTCTTATTCTTCTGTCCATGGTACAAGAGAATGTTGTTGGCCCTCCAATTCCAACTGGACTACGGCCTCCCGGTCCGGAAACTTTCTTTTATATGGACTTCGGCCGTGAAAACCTACGATGCTCTAATGATAAAATGGTTCTAATTAATAGGTAATGCTAGGATGAAGATAATGGAGATGGGCCCGCGGCAAAATTTTCTTAAGGCTTCTAAAGAATTATCGTCTCCAAACCGCACTCATGCACAGTGGTTTTCAATTATAGCAAAAAAATGCAAAATAAAAATATAATATCGACTTCAGAAATTTAAAAACACAATTGGAAGTAAGAAAAAAATTTCGAATAGAGTAATAGACGAAAAACATTTATTCCTTGCCTCTATAACTGCGTAAAATACAACAAAAATTTAGAAACAAAAATACAATAATTTGTGTTTTTAAGCCCTTTTAGTCACTTCACCGTAAGACTTTGTATCATGAGAACTGTCATCGATCGACATCGTTTTTTGTTCGTCAATTTAAAAATGCTTCTAATATCGAATCAATCTATCACATTCTTGAGAAATGTTATTTATAATTATTTTAATTTTTGTTAGGCATATCTAAAAATAACACATACATATTGTTTCCTAATAAAACATGGGAAGTACAGGGGGATGTGGGGACTTCTGACCGCTGCTGCAACGCTAGAAGGAGACTTACGTGCAAAGCGTCTTGACATCGGCCATGTTGTCGGGGAAGACGAGGTTGGCATCAGTGAGGAGCGGCGACGCCATCCGCACGCAGGCCAAGTGCTCGCCGCCGCAGCCTCCGCCCCCGCCACTGCTGCCGCCGCCGGCGCCCGCGCCACTCACCAGCGCTTGGGCAGCCGCAGCACCAACCAGTACATCTGCGCAAGGGGGACGCGCGCTTCTTTATTTATGTCAAGTAAGAGAATGTCTGAATCTGACATTTAGGGGAGATCTGACGTTTAGGGGAATAGAACGATTTAAAAAACGATATGTCGCGTATGGAGGGCGGGAAGACAATCTCCGCACATCTTCTAGAGCGTCGGAGTCCCTTTATATCTCTTTTACTAAATGTACTTAAATTATAAAGAAACGGAGCAACGAGTCTTGCAGCATGTGAATACAAGAAGTATTTGCTCTCGTGTAATGAAAACTGTTGTGGCCTGTGGAAGCAAAAATGCTGGTGAACAAAAACACACAAAGTGGTTTCCTAAAAAGTAGCACACACACTACTCAAGAACAACACTTCAATTACTCTTGTATAATACTGCAATAAATTGAATAGTATCAATCAATCAAAAACAATCGTCCTAAATATTTCAATAACATACTCTAGTGTATCTTCCTAGGAGTTATACTGTCGCTCGACGACAGCTTTGTCAGGGATCGGATTATACGCATGTAAATGAATGTTTTTGCATATTTTTGAGATAATTGCATATTTTTAACAATCTTGCATATGTTAGCATCTTACTATGTGTAAAGAAATTCGACTCAAATTGCAGTGGAAACTTCTTAGAAATCGTTTTTGTTTGTTCCATTCTTGGGATACCAATAATGTCGTCGAGAAATGACAAGACCAGAAAGTTTCGTCTATTCAATTCTTGTAACAAGAACGGTGTGTATATTCAAGTAGGGTTGCAACAAGAAGAAGGTTCTTTCAGAAGAATGATGATGATGGTCTAAATACGAGTATGTTACATTCTTTAATGGCACGATACAAAAATTGCCCACCATCGGTAGATGTTGAAAGAACATTTTCAATTTATAAACATATGAATACAGATACGAGACGTATTTTTTTGGTTGATAATATTGAAAAACATGGTAAAATGTTTTGCAAATACTTCAGTCTCGTTCATTCACAAGTAATCTATCGTTAAAAGTAATATTTAATAATAAATGTACTGTATTTCAAAATTATTAATACGCTTGTTTTCATTTTTAATCCATATTTCCTGAAGTTTTATTTCCTACATATTTACATATAATTTGGCGTAAATCTTCATTTACTATTCATATTTTAGAAAAAAATGCAAATATATGCGCATATTTTTCCAAAAAACGCTTGCATATAATCCGATCTCTCGCAATGACACACTGAGTATGAGAATTCAGTCGGTAGGCGCAGTATTAGTAAAGACGAAATAACAGATATTTGCATTTTTCAGCAAAAATCAAAGTCTCATTGATCTTGAATTTTCCTCGAGGTCCAGGGTAAGTAACAAAACCACGGACACCTCCCTGATGTCTAAAGGCGGCATAGTTTTCTTTCAATATTTGCATGCACGATAAATTAGTAGTGTAGATTTGCATCGGCAAACAAGATAGCACAGAGCAATGTTGTTTTACGATATAAAATACTCCGAAGTGTGAATATTTTTATACACATCTCGGTTAATTTTGTTTTATTTTTTTGTTTATCAGCAAAAAAGCTTTGAAAAAATGTATTGACGTATGCGAAGAATGTCATTCATTCAGGGACTATTTAAATGATTGTTTATTGATATTATGAAAACAGGAGGAACAATACATGGGAATATAATATTTGCGGGGGATTAGCAACAATGCAATGATACACACACGAGATTAATACGAGAAACATTCAACTTCACGACTAATGAAGTATTCCAACGAAACCTCACCTCAGTTGTGAGACCTAATGAAATGACGTACCTCCCTTCCATTTTGGAGAGGCCTTTGCTCAGTTCGTGAGTGTTTATACCTTTCTTCTTATTGTTATTATTATTAAGCGTAAATATGTTACAGTGTGTAAGAATATTAGAATTGACTCACTTTCTAAACGTCACGAGTCATGAGCTGACGCATGTATAGCGCCCAATAGATTGTACTTTACCCACGCGTCATATACAGTTTTTTGACGTTAAATAAGTGTAAATGAATTCACAAGGATTGTTGCGTGCGCCTGGATCCGTGTCTCTGGAGGTCACCGTTACTTTCCGAGGAGAAAAATACCCTACTCAAAGCTGATAATTCAGAACTTGACAGACAGTGCCGTGGAACACATTATTTTCCTTGTGACGCATTAGAACATATGCATTCTTATCAGTAGTCAAATTTTGACACATCAGCAGAATATTCTTATTGTTTTATTGTTTGTTCAGTTCTGTTATTACTTTTCATTATAATGGCTGATAATCCAAAGATATAAAGTAAACCAAATCCACACCTTCGATTGCCCAAATTTTATAATAAACTTATAATTTATAGTGATGTGTAAATGAACGATATGCCATCGTGAACGGTAGGCGTGAACTACATGACATCGTGAGCTGACGTGTCAGTTCCGATGAATTCAGGATTGTGGCGTGTGTCTCGGGCCCTTCCACACGAGGTCCCCGATCCAGCGGTCCAGTGGTCCGGCTGCAGGGTCTCTGACTGTCCTCGATGAGCGACGGAGCGAGCTGATTGGTCCCCTCCCCTCCCTCGTTCGCCCACGGCCTCTTCCGCCGAGCAGAAGCGGAAGCGGAAGCAGTGGGCACCCGCGATGTCAAGCGCGTCTCTCCGAGGGGGGGGGTGAGGGGCCCGAACGGGTCCGATCCATCCCACCTGACCCGATCCCACCTGCGTGCTCCGGGAGAGCCGTGCTCGACAGAAAGACGGCGTTCACAGGCAGGGGGGTCGGCTGAGGTAGCTAAGGGCATCATCTGCTGTCATTGCAGGGCGCCTGACCGGGAGGTCCTCGGTTCGATTCCCGACGGTGACAGGATTTTCGACACTAGCTTCACAGGTCAAATTCAACTGTTGTCTGGAGGTGAATTCTAACGACTGGCTTCTCTGTTCGGTAGTTTTCCGTGTTTTCTCCGATCAACACCATGCGAATGCCGGGGCAGTACCTTAACAAACGGGCCATGGACCGCACGCAATCGTTTCCCTCTTCTTTGTCCTATCTTCACCCCTTACTATCTCTCTCTCTCTCTCTCTCTCTCTCTCTCTCTCTTTCTCTCTCTCTGACACACACACACAACACTTATATGCACACTACCACGCACGTCGGGAGATCGGGCTTAGAGCTTGTCCCGCCCGGGGCGATGCCCCGCAGTGTGAGATACCTGTTTGCGAAAAAATCCGCGAGCCGACGTTTACTAGACTGCTGAAAGGGATTGTGTCTGTTGTTGACATGAATTTACTATTTATTGTTTCTTTCCAAAAAAGAAACTATAAATACTACGATTTAAAACGTTTCAAATTGATTTCGTAATAACAAATTAATACTTAAAGAAGGAAGCACGGTTTCAAAACAGTTTAGCTTTTCAAACAGACAATCGCATGAATATTAGCAATGTGCAATTGATTAATGTACAGATAACATTATTGGGCCTCTCAATTCAGCCAAATCTGAAATGGAACTGAAAAAATATCTAATTTCCCTTTTCCAATGAGGACATTTTGAGCATTTTTTTGTTGTTGAGCATGTAAGTTTTGCTTCTGGAAATAAACGTAGCTTAACTATGGGTTCGTCTTGTTGAGTTCTCGTTTTTCCTGTTGTGATAGGAGTAGAGCTGGGGATATTTGTTACTATTTTGTTAGCAATACTAAAAAATCAAGTCTGCAGTTTGCTTATCGATGCAAATAAGTTTTATATATTCCTGGAGTGAAAATATTTAGTTTTTAAAATTTCCTAACGTGCCTTTGTTGGTGCTTTTAATCATCATTCAATTATTTATGGTTATATGGTGTGGAAGAGACTAGATCTCAGAAAAAATGCGCAGATTGTACTTCTCTCATTTACGTGACATATAGTTATTACTTTTCTTTCACAAAAATAAACCGAAGCAGAGACGTATCAGAGTACATCTTTCTATGCTGTAATGTACCATTATTTTCACGGAACCATTTATGTATATTTACATTCGTTCCCATAAAACTAGCCATATTAGTAACAGTGGCGGTTTCTCAGGGGAGGTTAGAGAGGAATGTCCTCCTCACACATTTTCTCGTGAATGAAATTTACGAATACAATATTTTCTTTGATATAAGAAGGAAAATACTTTTTTTAACTTCATATTTACCTGAAATTGTCTTAGATCGATCGCGCGCTTTTGAGGCGACGCGAAAACTCAAAATCGCTTAGAGGAGGAATTCTCAACGGTTCTCCTCTCGTGTAGTAAAGGTCCATATACTCGTAGCACAGCGCTGCGGCCGCAAGAAGAGGAAACGTATTACAATGCATCTCTACGACATGAAGGGAGGATATCCTCCTGTAGAATGCAATCTGTCTGCTATCACAGGCGCGGATCCACGGAGGGGGGATGAGCGATATTCCCCCCTCCCCAAATTATAATGTAACTATTAATTTCAACTTGTCACGAAACTTTTAAATTACTAGTTGTGCTAAAACGGCACGAACTTTCTCGCCCGTATTTTCAAGTAAAATTTCACGAAAAGTACTAAAATTAAAAAAAAAATGTTCACGACCTTATTTTAAAATCTATCTTTAAGGTACATATTTCATTAAGGTAAAAATCTTCATCCTTAATATTTTAGTTGTAGGAAGTCTCCTAAAAATTCTGAAATTTTGCAATTTTCAAACAATCAGATTTTTCAACGAAAATGCTATCTGCGCTATTCTCTTAACATTCTTTCATTTCTCGTGAAAAAATAATTTTATCTCGAAAAATAATTTTCAAAAAAGTCATTCAAATTATTTGAAAAATGTCCCAGGCGCTTCATTTAAATTACTCTCAAAAATTAAAATATCGTTTTCAAATTCCAGGGGCCGCCAGATCGATTGGAGAATATCAATTTTGGAGAAAATAGGTTTAACGGTTTAGCAATGCATAATGCAAGAGAGAGGCGAGGCAAGTGAGATGAGTTGCAGCTTCTGCTCTCACTCAACCATGTTCTTCCCACCGCCTCA